ATATTTTGACGCATACTTTCCAGAAAATGCAACTAAGAGGCCAACTCGGTCCTTGTGGTCGGTACTGTGTCTGTATGTTGTCAGTCACGTTTTTGCGCAGTGTTTGACTAAATTACGGACGAAGAATCAGTCTACATTGTGGCCCCTATAGCATTGCCACTGCATTCGATCCAAGCCAGGTGCTGCGGCATGCGTAGGAGCGCCTCCGGTTGCGTCAGCTACCTGCTCTCTCTCTCTCTCTCCTTCTCTCTTTCTATTTCTCGCCTCCGGTCTTCTTCATTTGGTCACGTCCCCGGGCCCAGCTGGGAGGGGAAGGAAGTGTGGTAGATGCAGCGCAAGGCTACTCTCACTGTAATGCAATTCGTGCGCACAAGTTACCGCGCTTTCTTACAGCCTGCCGTAAAGCATGCAGTTGACATCATCGAAACCGACAGTCGAACTGTCGTGTGCGAGTCTGGATTAGAGCCTGGCACTTGAAGGGGATCAGTGCCGCCCTTCGTTTAGAAACTTTGCACATCAAGCGAGGACCAGTTCTTGCGTAGCATGCGTGACGGGCTGCGGTCAGCCACCTTGCTCACGCCCAGGTTGAGGAAAGCGTGCAGTTGGTGTGGAACAAGACTGCCTCGCCCACTCCGTAGGAATGTTTTTCCAAACCCTCTACTGCTGGATGGCTGTAGTGTTCAAACAGGTGGGATAAGATCTGCCCGATTATTACTTCTTAAGAAATTTATTTCAGTTCAACGAATGTGTAGACGTTCTATTTTGCATCAGTTCCATTACAAAATCACATTAATTTTCCGTTAACTAGCCAATTAAGCGTATGTTCACCTCCGTAGTTCAACTTACATTCATTACATTACTTTCCTTGTGTCGGTACAATATTCCCCTTTCACTCTTTCCAGATATAGTAGCCGCTTCTATGAATCTGCCTCCGAAGCTATTAAAACTCCTGACACATCACCAGCACAACTTCTCTAAGCACCTGGATGACACCCTGCTGAACAGACTAGAAACCTGTCTCTACTGCGCGCACTCCACCCATGCCTCCTTCTGGAAGGCATTGGAAGCCAACCACCTTGACGCTGTCTTGGACTCACTCGAACAATTACCTGATGATGACACTGAACTCGCATGTGGTCTGCTGAAGATAAAGTTCGCTATTGTCTGGCACTTTCGCAGAGACCTAGACGACGTGGTTTCATCAAGAGTCTGCAGCCTACTTGAAAAGCTTCTCACATCGGAGGATCCTCTTGTTATCTGTGCGGTGGAACGATTTATGAAGTCAGTCTTGGCGGAATCCAAGACCCTTGCGACCTTTCGCCAGCTTAATTCTACTCACTTGCTCCCGGCTCTACGAAGGAGTTTTGACCTCTCCGAGAATATCGTGCA